ACTATAATCGGTACAATAGTCTTTTTTCAATTACGGAAAATAGAAAGTTTACGAATTCGAAGTGCCATCTATATCCCGATTAATTATGATCAATGAAGTAATCTAGATATATTATATGTTAAAAAGTTAACACCCGAAAATATAAATAAAAGTCAAGGTTTTAAAACTAATAAATTACAGTCACAGTAATGTTCTAGGTACTCAGAATGTAAAAATTAGATTTTATAGTAGGCAGATAAAATAAGTACTTCTGTATATATTATACAGAATAAACCAGTTACGGCCAAAAGGCAATTAGGATGGTGTCTAATAAAATCTATTTTTATTTTTTCGAAAAAGAGAAATGTATGTTTAAAAATATAAATATATTTAAGTATATCTAAAGACATTTAATTTGTATTTGTATACACAATAATATACGATGATTATTGTGATTATGTTAGGTATTGCAATAGATGTGATTTATATTTGATTTGATATCCTTATAACAATATATTTATACATGCGTATGTGTAATTTAAAATTAACTATTGTAGATTTTTATCTACAAGGTGTAGCGATTTGAAGTGTAACCAATAAAATACTCTTGCAAATAACTGAACAGAATATTACAACAACTATCATTACTCAAATTATATACGGTTAATATAAATAAAATACATTCGAATCATATTTGAATAAAATTTAATAGCCGAATAAGCGGAAAGAGTATTATATCAGAGACAACTAATATTAGTATTTAGTATGTCGAAACCTATTAACTTTGACTAGATAATATTATGTTACTATTTGTTTTGAGGGTGTAATACATTATACCTAATACCTATGCAGTTTCTAATTTGTATATTGACTTCATTTCATTACCCTTAAAATTGTATAATGTTCGCTGGTAAGACTACCTCCCATCAACTTTTGATTTTTAAATTTTAATATTTAAAGATAATAGGTTTTGGAATAATAAATATTCACTATTAACGGAATTAAAATTTAAATCATTCTCTTTAGCAAAAAAACACGTGCTCTCGTATGGATACCGGCTCATTTGAAACAAAACATGTTAAAATAATTTAATCTATTTTTGAGACTACTTCGGTGCATACAAATCGAATTTCGACTAATAGTTTATGATCTATATGAATTTAAAGTTTATATGCGAAGATAATGTAGATACAGGAAAATATGCCGATCCACTAAGCTCATCTAAACTTTATAAATACTTATAACTAATTAACTTGTGTTACGAAATTTGATTTTTATACATCGGAATACTTCAAATAATATTCTGATTTGAAATATGAAACAAAAAATACTTGACATTTGCATGTTTAGGTAAAAATTATTTATTGACAATATGGTAAAAAAAATCAAAAATGTCCAATAATGGCCATAAATATCTCAAAAATAGTCAAAATATTTTCAAACTGTATTACGTATAGAAAATTGTCATATTTATATCTGGTTTTTGATATCTAACTTTTAATTTTGCCATTAGTGTTGAATTACACCTAAAAAATAAAATCGATTTCGACAAATTTGAATCTGTGTAAAAATTCCCATTGTTCTTACATTTTTTTTTAATAGATTTACACAACGCTTTCAAAAACTACTTGTAATTTTAACCTCAATAATGCACAACTTGCATCACTTTCTTGTCAGAAAACATAAGAATATATATTATGAGTAAAAATCAGAGCATTTGTATTTTGTATTACCTCAAAAATGTATAAAAACAGAAAAAAACACACATCATTGAAAAATCAATAGATTCACAATCTATGAATATAATTTAGTTACATGTTAACTTTAGATTCTGAGTGGACCGATGATTGTATTGGATTTATGAATTAATTTTTTAGCATGTGTCTGCCATCGCCTTCAGGAGCAATGAAAATGCACGGATTTTTAATTTTGAAAATGGTTTTTCATTTTTTGTTAGTATACAATTTGATAATATTTATTTTTTATAGACCAGGGATTCTCAAGCTATCCCTTGCGGGTATGAATCTGGCCAACAAACTAAAATTAAAACAACAAATTAAAATAGAGGAAAAAATTTCTTTGAAAGTAAACGCTTTTAGTTTTTAAAATTGTTGGACATTAGTATTTAATAACTTAATCTTAATGAAATAAAAATGTATGTAAGTCTTTAAATAGTTTTATGTTTATTCTAGTTTAGTAACGAAGAAGGGGGTAAACAAAAGAATGTATTGATAAAAAGGGGTACAGTGTACATAAAAGTCTGAGAATCCCTGATATAGACAATGACATTTTCAATTAAACTAATAATATACTAATAATATGAAATAATAATTATAATAATATTAATACAATTATATTATAATAATTACTATAGATTATTATATGAGATTTATTTTTTCAGCATTTCAACCTACCGTATTCAGGTCAATAATACAAATTAATAATAGCAATATTAATATACGATAAAAGATTTTTAGTCATAAATAGGCCGGCAGACCGTCTGTTATAGTCAATTCCTTGTTTGATTATATTTAGGTACTACAGGTTTTATGATATGTTGAAGAGTAACTATAGATAAATAAGTGTAAGTTGTATTATTCTGTACAGCTTATAATATATATTAATTTTATAAATATGTTACGAAATTCATATTTTGTTTTTATTTACTTATTTTATTAAAATGTAAATATATTAGATACATTTATTTGAACACAAATTTAATTTGAAGGTATTGCATATCTTAGTTACTAATAAACTATATATTTTCTCCCTAAATTAATTAAATAACACTATCGTATTTTATTTGTGTACTTACTTACTATGCTATATGTTTAGATTGTAATTTAATTGAAAATGTAAACATGGTTCGGTACTCTAAGTTTATAAAAAACAAAAAAAACTTTACATTTACAAATTTAAATCAATATGACTAATAAATTATATTACTTCATCCACACAATAAATTAAAATACAAATATAAATGCAAAATGATTGTACATTTTATTTTAAATTCTGAAAGAACTCAGAAATGTATTGGTTTTATAATAGTGTACCCTTCTTTCGGATGCAAGGAACACTCCCAAAGTTGCATGTAGTTAATCGATTGGAAATATTGAACACAGATGGTACTTTAGGTTCCAGAAATTTACAAAAAAAAAAAATATTGAAAGCAAAAATCCACGAGACCGTTCAAATTTACGGTACACCCATTTTTAAACAAGATCAATTATTTTAGTGGCCCATGTATGTAGGGTAACTCAGAAACACTCAACAACGCTCTTTAATTATTTGATTTATTGTTTTATATACATATCATATCTATTAAAACTAAGTTACTATATTATAAAGCAAGTATTTATTGTTATAGTGTTTTTTCCAGTTTTGTTTTTATATAGTTTTAAATACTATTTATACCTCAAACTTAATTATTGAATACAATTCTATCTGTGATTATTCCGTCCATAGTTTTCATAACTAATTACATAATTTTGTATACAAATATTTAATTTTTATCTTGTTGGCATACCTAACGTTTTATTTTATTTTTTGGTTTTAAACTTTTGTTGTTCATTTTTTACAACATTCAAAACTGAATAGCACTGAAAAAACGTAATGAACATAATGATATAGAAAGTACCCTGATGCAAACCGTAGACAACATTATTGTATTAGTACTTACCAGCATTTTATAGCTTTTTAGATATTCAACTTCTTATATTCATACAGAATCGTAGGAATATCTGAAAATAATTATTAAATTGTTTATACTTATGTGATCGATTTCGAAGATATTGGAAATAGTATAATTATTATACTATATTATATTAATTTAATATTGTATTTAAACTTTATTAGCACCATATTTTCATTACATTTTAAATGCCCTAAATAATATAATGATTGTTGTTGTTATTAGGTATTATTATAATGTGATTGGTAGGAAGGTACAGAATAACATGATTGTACTTAAAATTTTAATAAAGAGTTAAATTATCTTTTGTAAAACAACATATTTAATTGCTTTGGTATGCATTTTTTTAGAATGTTTTAAATTTGGAATTACTATAATTTTATAAAACGATAGGTATATAATATTATTATGATTAAGTAATTTCAATGTAAAGTTGCATTTTTAATAATAATAACAAAATATTGTAGTACATTAATAAAAACCGAATAATAGTAGTAGGTTTATTTTTCTATTTTTACCATTAGATGAAATAGAAAGTTTACGAATTCAAAGTACTATCTTCATTCCTATAATTATGATTTATGAAGAATATATTAAAAAGTTCCCACCAAAAAAAACCAGTACTTATTATATTCAATTAATTTATAGTAAGGCCCTTGTCGTCGTAGCTAAGATCAGTAAAAAAAAAAATAATTCATAGTACCCTAAACATTACTTTTTCCTTATAAGATAACTTATCATTTTGTTCAAATTGAAAGACATTAGCCCAAGTGGATCATCTAATTTCTGTTCACTGGATATTTTATTACAGTTACTATGAATTTTTTTTATCTGTGTACGAATAAAATATGTTCTTATCACTCCATAGATAAGTGTATCGTGTAGGTAATAATATATAGGTATGATAACCTAAATAATAATAAAAGATTAACAAACAAAAGGAATTTTATACAGACGGTTTAGCAAAAATCTATGTTCAACTGATGTATTGTACAACAATAAGTAAACGTTTAAAATTTTACAATACTTTAAAGTAGTAATTTATTTATATTGTTTCATAGTCATAAGCATAAAATATTAGCAGATTTTACTTAATATATTATATAAAGTACACCATTAATCTATTTTACATGTTTTCACTACTCATTGACATTAGTCAAAAATATCATTACACAGTAAGTACATAGGTACATATTTCACATGAAAATCGAAAATCATGTCTTGTGTTTGTCATATTTCAACGTCAATGTATGATAATATGTTTATATCTATTATTTTAGGGAAGGGGTTCTGAATGAACAATTTTTACGAGAACCTATATCTGTACAAGAACCTGCGTTTAGTAGTGTCATCTTGGCTATTATGTTCATTGCATTCTTATGATATATATTTCATAATGCACGATTCGATTGGTTTTTATTTAAAAACGTGGCAGTTATATTTTGATAGTTATTAATTAATTGATTAACTTATGAAGTTAATATGATATTTGAATCTGTGAATAAAATATTACTTGAATAATAATAACTTAAATCCAAATAAAAATAAAAACTATTTGAGTTGAACGGTAATCACATTGGACAAATATCATAAATCAAATCAAACCGAATTAATTGTAAGTTAATACAACATTATCGTTAATATTATATTTTTATTTTATTTCATTTTAGTTTATACCTTATAGTGTCATATGTTTTTATCTGTAATGCGCGATTGTACATAAATATTATTCCCGTAATGTATATACTTAGGCATGCTTATTTACCACATAAAAAGTGGTACTACACATATCACTTGAATCTAGTTTTTCACCAATATAATACACTTTATTACATTTTTTAATATACTAGTATTTATTTATTTACTTATAATTCATTTACACGAAAAAAAAAATACTTTAAAAAAAAACTAATTCTTATTTTCACATTATCTGGTTAGATTTTAATGTATTTATCTTATACAGTTTATTGAATCGTATGATAATTAAAATGAATCTAATGTTAATTGCAATATTATACTTTATAAATATGATGGACTCTATAGTAATCATGTAAATTGGAAATTGAAAATAAATTTGTTTTTAAATTTCTCAAATATTCAATAAAAATAAATATAAAAACCATCTTTAATGAAAATTAGGTACCAAGAATTTTGAAAAACAATGTCTATCATTTCGTTCTATAGGGAAAGGGTATAAAATAATATTTTGTAAGATATAAATAAGTAAGATTTAATATAAATATCATCATTTCTCAGAACTATACCATATTTTATTCCGTGTGGTATAACATTTTTAAAACTAATCAACTTATCGATTTACCGTCACAAAATATTATTATACCACTAGAAGTTAGAACACCAGCTTGAAAAAAAAAATAACAGTCTACATCCTCATATAGTTATCCTACTGCAAGAAATCTATAACTTATCATTCATCTTAACCATAATACACTGCAAAACTTCATAGTTTCTTCCTCACTCTCGCTTCAGCTATTGAATAAGTCATCACAAAGTTTATTAAATCTGAAGTAAGAATATAAATTCTAATCGATATCTTCTCAATAGCCTTCCAGACGATCCATTACTTCTGAAATTCTGAATCTTACCCTTAAACATTGAACACTAGCAAATAAGATTATTATTATGAGTCATATGTTTATGTCCATGCAACTGTTGGCGCGTAGTCGTATGTCAAAACCAACCAAGTGATCGTTAAAACTGTAGCATACATAGAAATTTTAAATCATAACAAATTATCTATAAAATATACAGCGCATCTGAGTTGGGTCCCAAGTACTGGCCTAAGTACTAGCTAATCACAATTACTACATAGTAATTTCATTAATATTTTTTGGTAAATAAACTAACATTTTCCTTCCAATTAGAACTATCTACGATCTATTTAGACTAAAGGTAAAGTTAGAAATGTGTTTTCAGTGTTTTCACAGTTTCTTCTTTTTAGTGTCCTACCATTAAAAATATAAACTATTACAATTTTACAAATTATGATATACCTAATAGAAATATATAGGTATAATTAAAAAAATTCATTTTGTATACATTTTTATCAACACAAAATCAATTTTTTTAAGCTATATTGTATATTTATTTATATTATGATATAGTATTTATTATTTATATAATCTGAATTTTAACATTTTTAAAATGTTTTTTGGTATTATTCAATATTTTCTATTACATCATACGTTTGTAAAATTCTAATAATTTATATTTTTAATGGCAAAGGAACTAAACAAAATAAATCGTAAAAAATCCATTTTTATCCATACCTTTCGTATAAATAGATCATAGACAGTCCTAAGTCTGTTAAAATGGGAAGGACAATGTTAGTATAGAGTAGTGGGTACTCACCAAAACATATTAGGGACCCAACTAGTGAGGTACCTAAAAATAATTCCAGACCCAACTAGTATAACAATGTTAAATTCGAGACCAAACTCAGATGTAGCCGCAAACAAGTGTCCAATGATACCTACTGCAGTTGTTTGAATTGTATACACGGAAGCTTATCATGAAGTTTGTATATTTCGAAAATTTTATCACGATTAATATTATAAAATATATACAATTATAATTATTGTATTAACCATTCGAGCACTGCAAAAATGCATTTATTACCTTGCTGGATCGAATAAAATCAATAATATGTTCGACAATTAAAATTAAAACTATTATTAACATGAAGGTTGTTTTTATTCATTTTTTTTTATGCTAAGATGCCTAATATTATGATTTTATAAACAAGTACATACCAGTCTGCCACGCCGTAGCTCGTAGTCGACTGCGGGCTCTGACTGGTATGATAACATTTTAGGAACCAATTCCATTGATAAAAACCTAATATTCCTCTATATAATTAAATAGGTATATATTTTTTTAATGTCTTTTGATTCATCGTACAATTTACTGTATTATTACGATGGCACAAATTACCATTAAATTTAACAACAACAAAACACACGATGCGTACCTATATGCGTAGGTACCTATATGCGTCAGTGTACATGAGAGCAATTTTAATGATGACGTGTATATGCCTCAGTGGTACTGAAAGTTCACCCTCCTCTTTAAAAAAAACGGGTTACTCATCACCCAGGTAATTGTTTTTTTAAGCAATGTTACCTTATTAAAGTTTAATATTGGAACCATGACGGTGTAAAACAATATTATCATTATTATTGTTGCTCATGAGACAAATGACGACGATTTGAATGCAATATTAGTACTCGGCTTGTAAGCTACTTAAGAACTATTGTGATACTACCCATATTGTATGAGTATTGTATATAATTGTACTTACAAATTATTGTTTTCCTTAATACCTTCCTATTAACAGATTATAACTGTCAAATATCCTGTTCCCCGTTACTTATAATCACATAATGTTGTATTCATCAAATAAGATTGACTTTGCTGATGAGTATTGATCTCCACTATATAATGCTATGAGTCCATTTGTGACATACCACAATTATCCAGAGACCTTGAATTCAAATGCGTGTGCTGTAATTCTTTCAATACATACAGTTTTTCAAATTAATACTTCATAGTTCATAACACATAATATTATTCTAGTCAGCTATATTATGTGATATTATTGAGTTCGTGTAACTACTGTTAATCGTTTTCGCTAAAGATATTTTGATGTTGTTATTTAAGTTGTTTTGTACTGTACTTTTTATATTGGACAAATGGTACAATATTACTATATCAACAAAATATTACGATTGATACTGTGAACATAATAATACACGAGATATATAAGAAATTATGGTAAAATTATTGACCGGTGATAGGTGTATCGTATATTGTACCACATTATCATTTGTGACAGTAGGTAAACAAGATCAGTATCAAATTATTTTATGTATTTTTTGAAAAATTCTGTAATCAAGAGTTATGTTATAGTTTGATACTTTGATATAATAACATTACCATGCCTAAAATATCACACAACTCGAATAATGATTTTAATACTATTAATACAATTTTTGTTAGTATTACAGTGCTATACACCAGTACCGGAGTACCTATATTTTATACATAATTTTATATCAACATTTAAGTCGTTGAAATTATACACTGCAGTTATTTGATATTAATATTCTCGATGAGTGTATTGGTCACAAAATGTTTTCATTATTTTTATTAGATGCTATTATTATTATGAATGATTTGGTCTTATGTACCTACTATATTGCTACACTAAACTGCTAAAATATTTAGGTAATGTAATAGTTTGCAGACGTATGTTTCATATAAAATATTACAATGTGTTTAACTTAAAAAAATATCCAATATCAATGTTATTTAGTAATACATCATATTTTGTTATGTTGCATGTAGTCTGTGTCATTTATAGATCTATACATTATCAATATGACTATTAATAATTCCATATTTATAAGAAAAAAAAATGTTTTTACTGTAGATGGAACCAGTAGGTAGAAGGTACCAGTGTGAATTTTCGTAAACTTTTATCAGCTGTGATAGAATCATAAAAAATTAATCAAGTTTTTGCTAAACACTCAAGTGTTGTATTTGTAGAATTAGTAATTTATGCTATCGGCGACTTTTTTTAAATGAGTTAAAAACCTAATATCACGTTTGAATGTATTATTAAATAAATAAAATACATATCCGTCAAGATATTTGTCAAAGTTATAAATATTTAAACAAAGTTATACCACTAATAAACACATGTAATATTATTGATGTTCACAAGACTACATAACCTGTTATGTATACTTATTTGCACCCGACTATTTGGCCTTGGAATGTGTCCTTACTATATTATCATATTTGTATTAATGTTTTTACACTATCGATTTTTGTTTTTTATAGATTTGAGAACAATGTGGTTTGAATACATTTGGATAGCATTAACAGCTATAGCTGTAATATCAAACAATAGTGTATCTCATGCTCAGAGTCAAAACACTAGTGAATCTCAAATAACAAATCTAAGAAATGATGAAGTTCAGAAAGTACAGAAATTACACGATATTTCAAATACAAAACACATCACACAAATTATAAATAACGGAAACAAAATTAATACCGAAACATTGTTTGGAGATATTATTGCGAATAGTATGAACAACTTTTTACCTTTTTCTAATGTCAATGCAAATTGTACTAGAGATGGACAACAATATATGAACGGTTTAAATAACCAAACATTATGGGCTGTTAAAAGTAAGTAAAATACGTTTTTGTTAAATGCATAATATTTATTACTAATAAATAGTAATATTTTTTTTAAATTTTGTTTGACGAAAAATAACCGTTAGACTATTACATTCATTTTTTTAACTCATAAGACAACCAATACAACTTATAATTATTATAGAAAAATGTCTTTGTTGCATAAAGAAAATAAATTTGTCATAATAAATAAAATGTTTAACTAATTGATATAATTTTAAGTAATTTAAAATTTACTCAAACTCAAAACAGTGTATTGAGGCATATTTTTTTAGGTGGGTGGGAGTGAACGAGGACAAACACGATGAGATATCTGACACTGTATTATATAATATGAGAAATCAAGTGTTGTTTTAAGATTTGAAAAACAAATAGAATTCCAATTACCTACTTACTTAAGTCTAAAAAAATATACTTTTTTGTACCTATATTAAATATCCTTGTGAAGAGATAAAAAATAATACAAGTTTATCATCGATTTTACTTATAAAATTTTTAAAAAATTTAAAATACTGGCACAATTTTGTATTATGAGCGTACGACTTTTGACGAAAATTGATACCTAAAGCAAATTACGATTTCTCTTCAAACAGCCTTAATATTCATCATATAAATATCGAATTTCGTGCACATTTAAGCTTACAATATTCATAAAAATAAATGAAGTTTGAATAATATTTTGTAGGTTTTTATGAAATACTTATGAACCATATGTTCTGAGGAACCTAGTGTTAAGTTTTCAAATCCAAGCTATAGAAATTAGATATTTAACACATTTATAACTACAAAATAGTTTACAAATATTGGTGATTTGACTAATTTTGTAGATATTTGAACTTCAAATACTGAAAAGAAACTGTGCTTTTGTGCTATAAGTATTTTTAAAATTTCTGGTATAATAAAAATAAATAAGAAATTTTTTTATCAACAACAATTATAGAAAAACTCAAATCGTTATATATTTATAAATAGCCCAATAAACAATAAAATATTTAAAAAATATTATCATGTATAAAAACAAATTTTGACCTTTCAAAAGTACTCACTAAATCAAATTTGGTATCAGAAATTACCCTCCGAATTGGAGCATTTTTTTCTATTACTGGTCATATTATACTGCAAACACAAAAAAAAAACACACACCGTAACGTAAACTCAATACATGTGTCTCTTTGATCAAAATCTAAAATAAAAGATTGACACGTGGTCTTTATTCAGAATCGTTTTTGAAAGACAATGATTTATACACATCATTATACTCAATGACAAGGCACACTGGAAGCATTAAAAGTCAAAGCGATTTTTCAAACTTATTCATCTATATTTTACTTAACACAAGAACCTTTTTGAAGGTCTTAATAGAGAGAAAACTTATTTAAAAAAAAATTATTTTTGAAGTGCAACATCCAATGCGGTGGGCAGTAAAACCGATTGTTGAGTAGCTCGTAATGCGCCTATAAAATAAAAACAATTTTTCTTAGAAAATCGGATTATTTTGTTTTTGGTTGTACCATGTTCATTTCCTTTAATAAACCATCCTTGAAATTTTGATACATATTTCTATACAAAATAAAGTTGATATTTCACGTTTGGCAAGCGTCCCGCGATGGTTCACTTTTTATTATTTTTTTTTATTATTAGCTATCTAAAATAAACTTTGGCTTTACAGGCCATTATTTATGTACACTTTGTTAACTTCATCTATTAATTTTTGTAATTAAATTGTGTAGTTAAGTGTTTCTTTAGAATAATAATACGTTTAGGTGGTTTCCAGAGTTGCATTCCCAGCACTGTGTCTAAGGTGTTGAGTGTTTTGGATCCTTCAAGCTGTTATTAATTGTGCTTGCAACATTCCGTCAGTATGTGTAATTGACCATTCGTGTAACTACGGAGGTTTCACATATAGATGGATCTTCCTCTGTCATCAGAAAACCATGTATTTTTTTGGTGTGTCCGATTCTTAGTCTATTACCAACGTATTGATTTTTGTTCTATTTTTAAGAGAACCTTATACCCACATGACGTTTTTCTCCGCCTGACCAACATAGCAAAAACTATTTTGCATGGAACAACTTTATTCCCTCTGTATTCATGATAGGATTACCAAAATTCCGCAATTCATAAGGAAGAACTTTATCTGTAACGTATGTTTTCGATTTTATTATTTGGATAACAATTAAAGTTATCCGTTTGAGAAAATCAGATATTTTTTTTTAAAATTTAACCTTCAAAAATAATTGATTATAGTACACTCAAAAAATTAAAACTCTACGTCACATGTAAACTATAAAAAGTTCTTCCTTATGGGTTGTGGAATTTTGGTAATTCTACTTTGAGTACAGAGAGAGTTACGTTGAAAAAACAGTTTTTGCTCTGCTGCACGTTAGTAAGACGGAGACAACACATCATGCGGGTATAACGTCCTCTTATTCAGTGTTTGCTGTGTTGTATTTTTTCCCCTTAGTATGGATTTATTTTGATGCCAGTTTGTTTACTCATTTGATTTTAATAATGTCTTAAATTTGATTTTTTATGTCCGATTCAGTTGTAAACTGAATAAGCTGTGTTTTGGTTAGTTCTAATGCCCTTTTGACTTGTTGGTCCACACTGCATTCCCTTCTATATTTATGTGTCAAAGTATCCAAATTAATATTATGTTTATTCCTTTGTTGAGTGATTGAATTATATAATAGGTAATGATATTTTTATTGTAGGCTTTTAACTTTTTCGAAATATGGCATACCTTTTTTATTTCATATTCCAAAGCAGTCGGCAGAATATTCTGCTGTTGAGAATTTAAGTATAGAAAAATACAGTTTAGATCGAGTAACCAGTTAGTTATAACTTTATAAGTATTTGAAATTTAAAAGTGGATTGACACTGGTTTACTCCGCAAATTGTTAGTCAATTATTCCACTCATCTAAATTTTAAATACCTATAATTAAATGACAACTCATTCGAAATTTGTATTCGTAATCTATTTGTATTATTTTTACTTCTTAACTATTTTTAAACATTTAGAAATACTATTTCTATAATTGCTTACATAACTTTAAGATTTTAACTAAAAATAAATTATTTTTAAGTGTAATAAATTCTATAAAATATATATTTAACATACAATTTTAGAAATAATTTTGAACTAATAAAAACAGCTCTTTTATTTTATATTTCGTACTTCAGAAATTTAAAATGAAAGTAATTAATTTTTTATAAATGTGATTTTTAAAATTAAATAATAATATGTACATGGCATTAAATAAATTTTTTTTTTATTGGTGAAATGTTGAATAATAAATTATTGGTCTACTTCGTTAAACTGATCAGTAACCACTGATGCATATTGTAACTGCTATATTTGTTACCTATACAAATATATTTACGGCGAATGTCCAAATAAATATAAATTAGTTATTTTGTTCATTACTTGTCTGATATATGATTATGGATACAACAATATTTATGTAAACAAGAATAATTACTAAACTTGGCAATCTTATGAGTGATGGTAAATGAAGTTTTAATTACCTCCAACATTTTGAAGTAGTACGTAGTGTACTTAAACTGAAATTTGGTGCATATTATGTATTTACAAAAAGAAACACTTTGCAAACTATACGTGTGAAAAAAACCATGTATGATCATTGAGACGAATTAATTAAATAAAGTTTAAATAATTCAATAAAATAATCGATTTTGTACGTGAGAACAGATATTTTGAAAGTTGAGGGTTTTTCTCACTAATTCCCTAAACCACTAATTTAATTTTAAGAATTTCATAAAATACAAAAGTAAATTATTTATAATAAAATCGCACCATTAATCTAAAAAGAAAAATATATGCGACTGAACCTTTGGTAATACACCAAAAACTTAACGGTTTTATTGATTTGAAATGAAGATTACGTGTTCTAATAAGTACAATAGTATCTTACGGTGTGGAACCTATACCTATAGTTGCATAGTATTTAAATATAAAGTGTTGGAATTTATAAATATATAAATATATGGTACTTGTTTCCTAATTAATAATATATTTATATTACATTTTTAAGACTTGGTGCATTTATATTTTACTATTTTTATTTTTTTATTTTGACTGGTTCTTGCATATTTAATTTTGGATTCGTATATTTTATTCATTTGTAATTCATTATTGAAGGAATTATTAAGATATTATAGAACAACCCGAACAATATTGTAACTTGAGCAAAGAGATAATATTATGTTGAGTAGAGATGAAGTATCTTCTTAATTTATGTTTTTCCAAATCAATATGTTCTGATTTCAAAACATTTTTTTTTTTTTAGAATAGTATAGGTATAATGTTAGATGATATATAGCCAATATAAGGTTTAATATAATGTACATTATTCACTAACATTAAGTATTATTTTCTCATGAAAAATTCTGTATTTATTTTTTTCACAAGTTATTGGCGAAATAATTATTAAATAAAAGTTGTTTAGTCACAATGACGTATACTATTATAGTGTCCACTATTTAATGGTTTGATGGTCACATTAACCATACATACATAACTTGTAATTTGTAACATTGTGATTTACGTATAGATAATTAACTTAAATAATCATGTCAATGAATATTCCTTATTCAAAATGTGTGTGTATAATGCATATAACATAATAATATACTGATCTAAATCGTATATTGCCGCCGTAAAGTTAAATATTAGATACGGTTGTAAGTTAAGTACCTACTAACCTGTCTTAAAATCTATAATTTTAAATTTGTTAATAAAAACAAGCTAATTAGACATTTTTGCGTCATTAAATTATACTCAATAAAACTGTTTTCTTAATATACCTCTTATTAAGGATAATACATAAACGTTTTAGAATATAACTATAGTTGTTTTTATAATTTATACTATAATTGTACAATAATAACCCACAACCGATCATTGTCAGGCCTATTTTGTATGTCTTATAAGAATAAAGTATAAAATATATTCATTATAAGTTATAACCATAGTGTACCACTAATATTGAGTATAAGAATGATGATCACTTTAAATGTTTATAGTGTACGCCTCTTCGTCAAAATATCCTGGGCCTATTTCGTCTGGCAACGTCAACGAATTGGGGTACTTCGACCAATGCATGCGTGTTTCATCAAAACGTCTTGGGATTTACGGAGCGTATGCCATAGCGAACGTGCGGTTTCACCTTTCTGGAGACAACAAACCTCCCGAACCGCTCAGCCAACTGGACATAATCAAAGCGGATTGGGAACGATCGAAAGTAATGCGATAGTAATATTATAAACTGCATAACATGCACAGCAGTGGCCGCGTGTGAAAATGACGGACGACAACGACGGAAGTCATATTTTAAAATTGAAATCGATTTGTGCAGGGAGACGCGTCGGCATCAGTACCCGAAAATCTATTATGGGCGTTGTGTTTTCCGGACTCGTGTACCAACGAAGACATACGGATATCCGTCGACCGTGCGTTGACACCAGCTTTCCAAGCTCGCAATATCAGCGTGAACGTCGCAGTGCCGCCGCTAATGTACACATCTAAGAGCACGACTCTGAAGTACACAAATACAGTTTTGGTCATCTAGTCAGTATATAATATTATTATCTATAAATCCATACCCTGTAATCAATAGCTGTTTAGCACTGTCGATCATGATGGTTGATTAAATAATACGGTACACCTGTACGGTTCCCTCCTTCCCAGTGAGATTAACTCTGAAAAGATATTATATTATATTATTGCCATGGATTTATATCATATAAGTAAACTTGGTAATATCTTGAACATAAATGACTTGTTACGTCATATAGTGTAGTAAACTTACTAGTATTGTAGGTGCGTGTGCCCTAATTTGGTATTACACTATATTCTGTATATTTTGAGATATTATAATTATATTAAGGGATATTTTTTTGGAGTTAATTTTACTGAAAATATTTTAACCGGTCACTGACTGCCGACATTGTTTCATCTGCCATAGTGGAATATTTATCGTGGGCATTGGATTGATGGTCGCAGGCACGTTTTACGAATTATTTGCAGATCACTCGAAACCCGAAAAATCTACTTTTGTCGGTAAGCTTGGACGCGTGAATTATAGTGGTCCAAAACAATCATAAATATCGTATAATTATACTTTTGATGTAGTAAAATGTAATAAAATTTACATCCTTAAATTGACGTCATGGATGTTTTAGGTAAGTGTTTACGTTCTTATTCGATGATTACAAATATGAGAAACTTATTAGAAGATCCAAAAACTAAAGACTTTGCCGTTACCAACGGTCTTAAGACAATGGGAATAATATCTGTGATAATTGGTCATAGAGTTGCTCTAAACTTAGGAGTCCCATCCTTTGATCCGGAGCACTCGGAACACGTACGGAAACGATACCATTTTTTTCTATGTAATTCATTTGAATTTATATGACTTTGTTTTTATTTTACAGATTTTCACCGATTTTTGGTGGTCGTTCCTCAAGTCCCCGGTTGCAGTTGAGATATTTTTTATAGTAAGTGGGTTTTTTACATACGTCCTGATCGAAGAGCGTTTAAGGAGTGGAAAATCGTTGAAGTTCATGTTTTTAATCATTTACCGAATAATCAGGTATTGAATAAATGTCATACTTGCTAAAATCTTAACATAATTTTATTCGTAATATTAAACGATAGTTTATTAGTTTGAGATAAATGTTAAAGAGTATACTTATTATATAGTTATGTATTATAATTTTGGTAAATTTAAGAAATTTGTTTGTATGGAAAATATAATGTACCTACATTTGTTAAAAATACGTGCACATGGGAGTTAGACTTCCAAAACTTAAAATTTATAACAGGTAGCCCCAGTGATTGAGCCACTTTAATTTAAGATATTTTATATTTTAATAAAATAATATGCATATAAGATAAAATATAATTTTCTACACCACTGCAGCCTGCAGTGCACATGAAACTTTACTCATTTGTGTGCTGTATCAAAAGCTAGGTAATAAATTATCCAAAATTAAATTATATAGAATTATTAATTTTATACAGGGTGATTCATCAAACATGCTTATCCCCATGTTTTCCTTTAATAAAAAATTCATTCAAATTCTGATTTTTTTCTTTTTTTTATTATAATTAAAGACTAGATTTTTAAATTCTTGAATTGTTTTGTACTACTTAGAAAGTATCCTCTGGTGATACTAACTTTTCCTTTTCAAATGAAAACTCCCTATTTTAATGTTAATTATTAAATGGATAATTTTTTTGAAAATTTTAATGTAACAAATTCAAAATTCGAATGAGTACTTTCTTAATTATTAAAATGTTTATGCTAAGGATAATTGCCCTTAAAAATGATTTTACAAATATACAAAATAAATGTGAAATTGGATATAGTATTTATTATATTTGGGTTATTTTTACAAATAAATAATAATCAATATTGATGAAAACAATTTTTAAATCACTATACACTGATATACTCCATATCTTATAAACACATTATTATGAATGTTTAATCCTTATAAAACAAAGGTAAATAACTAAAAAACTACTCGTACCAATTTTGATAATGATACGTAAACGTTTTTAAAAAAAATTATCCACTGGATAATTTACCGTTTAAAGGGAGTGTTCTCATTTGAAAAACAGAAGTTTGTACTCCACAAGACACTCCATAAGTAGTACAAAATATTTCAAGCATTTAAAAATATGATCTTAAAGTAAATATTTATAAAAATTCCAAAAATCAGATTTTAAATAACTGCATTACCTAGTGAAGAAAAAAATAAAGTGAACATGCTTGATGAATCACCCTGTATATTCGTATATTTTCATGTGGAAATAAATAATAATTTAATTAATTGTATGTAAGTACCTAGTTTTATATTTAATATTTATTAAACAAAAAATTATTTTAAAATTACACAGGCTTTGTAATTAATAAATGTTATAGGTATAATATATTATGTTTATGTGTCATATAATATTATCTGTGGCCCAATCCCCTAGCCCCTTTTAAATAAGTATAATATATTTAATTTATGGACCAGGACGCAGGAAATACAATTTTAACAAATATTGCATACGATTATACGAATCAGATAGATACAATGTGGCCCAATTACAGATCGCTTAAAAATTCCAGTTTCAAATGTTTCAATTATCACTATGTATTAATTGTCCAACTCTAAATAACAAAAATAAAATAAAGCATATGTAAATATAATGATTAACTGTAATATCCAATATGATATAAAATATCAATAGACAATAGGTACCTACTCTGTATAACCATTTAAGACATTTTTTATATTTATATTTTAATGTTTATTCAATAGTATGTACATTTATAAAATATAAAATATGACGTATATGTTTTTACTATTTTACATTTATTTGAAAATAATTACGTCTCTAATCTGGAACCAGTATAGTCCATGTTTTCAATATATTCGTATTAGTACATACTTACTTCGGTTGATGACATCGTAAGACAATTCAAATATGTATACTTAAACAGACCATGTAATATGTTGGTACTCAAATGTCGGTTCAATCTTCACTCTTCCGTAATAGACCTATTTGTATGAATTTATTGATCATTATTTACAATACTGCATGTCTACAGGCGAAGACTTTCGTATCATTATTATTTATTAGGTTAAGACTAAAATAAAGATGGCCTTATACAACCACATAGAATAATAATATAGTTAATAATAATAATAACTTTAATTTAATAATGTATGAATACAAAAGTATAAATAACATTAAATGTTAAAAATAAACAATACTAAATAATTAACCAAATCAGTAAGCTTACAAAATGTTCTAATTAAATTAGTAATACCTACGTAGACATGTATATATGGTTGATAATTTGCAAAATAATAACTTATATAGTTGTATAATAGTTTAACTTTATTTTTCGATCCAATAGACAGTTAATTAGTTTTGATTCTAATAAAGTTGGTTAATGGTTATCAATTAAAGTTGTCATTTTTTTTTCATATATTTTATATTTGCAGTAATAAGGGTACAATAAAATGAATATTATTTTATTTTTAGAATTTTTCCAACGTATATTACTGTTATTGTAATATTTGCATTCGTTTTGCCTTTTATGGGCGATGGCCCATTGTGGAAACTTATTGTTTACCCCGAAGCTGAGTTTTGCCGGAAAAACTGGTGGACTAATCTATTGTTTATAAACAACTACGTACATTCAAACGAAATGGTAATTATTAATTTTGTATTTTTAAAGTAATTTTCTATCTAATTGTCACCACATATTTAAGTTATATATTTCGTTTAAATGTTTCTATGAATTTGTTTTCTTCAGAGTTAAAGAACACTACATTATTGTGAACATACGTAGAACGTACACATTGTAATTAATATTATGATTTGTAATTTTTGTGAAATCATCATGAAAACAATCTATATGTATTTTATTTATTCAGATTAATTAACCAAGCATGCTCACTCATTTTTTTTTTTATTCAATAATGCAGTTATCAAAATTTGATTTACTAAATTTTTTAAAATACTTAAAGGACAAATTATTTTCTGATTCATTAGATGTTTTATTCTATAGACTTAAAGATTATCCTGTGCAGATATAAAATTCAGTTTTTCAAATAAGAGATTTACTATAAATTGTTACACTGTAAATTATTAAGAAAATAATTTTTCTGAACATTTTGACGAATCGAATATTACTATGACCAACTTATAATGTTATTAAATTACTAAAATTACAATGAATACATTTTGTGTTTAATTTTATAATATACCTTTCAACCTTGACTGGTTGGCTGTAGTTTACTTAATACTCATTACATTTCAAAAATTCAATAATTTGATTTACATTCGATAAAAAAAGTATTTATTTTATACGTTCTCTGCAGTGCTAATGTGTGTAGAAGTGTATTTCATATTTCATTTATTATAATAATTGTAGAATAAGACCCTTTGTCGTTTAGGAGAATTGAAGGGTTTTTACCATTACCTACTATAAATTAATATTGTAAAATATCGTCACATGATACACACACACACACACACACACACACACACACACACACACACACACACACACACACACACACACACACACACACATCTATATCCATAAATGCATGTCTGCTTCCGAGACACTTTAATACATTGCTTAATAAACGAAACCATGGTAATGCCACACGGTTGAATTCTACGGTAGATTGTAATTTATAAACAAGCAAAACTAGTTTTTGTCATTGCGTCGCCTACGGAATCATAATTATTGTAACAACTCTCATAAAAGGTTAGCTTATTGGCTACTAAGAATATTGTGAATTTACAAAAATGTAGTGATGTACTTTGGGGGCCAAATACCGGAAGTTATTAACTTACCACGCATAGCCTTAATGCCTGACGATTGACGAGTAAAACGGCCCTGCATGTTATATTTTATTGTGAATTTCAATTTTAAATTTTAAGTGACATTTTGAAATTAGCTTACATAAAAGAATAAAACATAATATACGATATACTTTACATATTAAATAAAATGAATAAATTGTGGTAATATTTTAACATAAAAAAAAGTACAACATTATATAGTATTACAGCTTTATATAACACTAACACTATAATAACAATTTAAAGCATTGGAGGGTTTAAGACTTCATCTATACTATGAATTAGTTGTAGGAAACAAATCGACAACACACCACAACATCTACGTACTTACACCAAATTTTGTATCCAGCAGTTCGAAAGTGGATACTGTAGGTGTAGGTGCAACTCGATCTAACAATGCCCTTCTTGCGGTCTACCTACCTCGTTTTTCAAGTTCGACAGGAGTCGTATTTTTGATGATGTGTGATATACATACCTATTCTATATCTTACATTCATACATAATATTGTTATCCTTGAGCCCCTCCCCCCAACTAATTCAAGATACAGTCTACAGACGATATATTGCGGTTTAGTAAAACCAGATTTTAGAATTAACTTGATGATAAAAAAATAATTGTTAATTATTTATGCTATTATAGGTAAACCAACTTATGTTTGTATGCATGAAAGTAACTTTGGTTTTAGGAGACCAAAAGTGAATATGAGGTGCTTAATTTCGTGGGCAAGGGGAGGGAACTTACCCCCTGACATTTTTTTGGGGGAGGGGGGAGATGTATCATTTTGCCACCCTTCAGATAATCCAACATTACAAATCGTTGAATATTTTCGAGCTTAGAAAAAATGCAAATATTTTTTATACTATTTTATAAAAGTTAACATTTATTTGATGTTTCTTATGTTACATAATAAATTAATATTAGATATTTTGACGTATCGTCAATACTCAATGAAATAGTTGAACATAGTTGAAAGGCCAACTTCACGGCACGTCAATGTTATCGCAATAATCGTATTTAATAAACTCATCACATTATTCGTTGGTTATTATTTATTATTCATCAATTCAAATAAAATATGTAAAAATAATATAGTAATTACTTTTTTAAACTACATATAGCCCCTTTTTATTCATGAATTCTTGTGTATAGATTCTTAATACCATTTAACAATATCAGTACCTGCTACTTAAGATTTGTTTCTAAGCCAAAAAATGAGTCTCAAGACTAAACCTCGTTAAGGGGAGGGTTTTAATTTAAGGGAATAAATTATTTTGTTCCCCTATATTTGTATCTAATTCGGCACAGTCAATAAGAATAGGTATATTATACAGATGCAATAAAATATGATATTATTGTTTTTCACGTCCATACTAATTAATGACCATAACTTTACTACATTTAAACTCGTGTTCCTTGATGTAAAATAGTAATAATAATAATAATATATTTTTTTAGTTCCTGCATCAGTTTAGATACGTGAATTATAATAGTTTAATGATATCATTTTCAGTGTATGGTACACGCGTGGTACTTGGCATGTGACATGCATTTTTTCATAATTGGAATTTTCTTGACCTATATTATTTGGAGATGGAATAAAGCCGGTGTTTGTATTTATGGCGTGCTCTTTGCTTTATCTATTTATATACCAGCAAAATCAATTTATGACAACAAACAATGGGGAGTGATGCCATACTTCCATGGGTAAATAATATGTCAATTTCACTTGAAACAGTTGTGTAAATATAAGTTAATGACCTATGCATTTGCAACATTTTTATAGAAAAATGAGTAAATAAATTAGTTTTCATAAATATCGTGTAATTAAAAAAATATCTTAGTAGTAAGTTTAAATAGACAATTTTGTCATTGATACATGTGTAGATCGCCACTAAAAAAAAAAATACTGACATACGTGTCAAAACTCAAAACGATGTTTCTTAACCATTACATTGTATTCTTTCGTTTCCAATTTGAATATAAATTAGTAGTTAGTCAGCACATATAGTAACAGAACATCTCTATATGCAAATAAAATGCATAATATTCTTAAATTTACTTATCTGTATTTTTAATAAATTAAAGCATCCGTAATATAATTTTAATAAATGTGGTTGTTTTAAATTAAAATGATTGTTCTAATTATAATATTTTAGTAACATAAAAAATCTCAGAACAACTGAACATTTCCAAAAAATTTACATAAAGAGTCATCACAGGATCACGACATACCTCGTTGGTCTAGCAGCCGCATTCATATACTTGCAAATCAAACAATCCAAAATAAAATTTTCAGTGGTAAGTAATAAAAAAATAGAATAATAAAATAATTAGATTAAATTGGTGTACTTGCTTGATGAATTTTGTCTTTTATTTAGAAAAATAGAACAATAGGATTTATGATATGCTTATTATTGCATATAATCTGTTACATTGTTACCGGCTACTTATATTTACCAGGACTTACATACAATCCGTGGAATCACATAATCTACTTCACGTTCCAGAGAATTATATATTCGTTGACTATATCGTACTTGCTAGTTGTCAGCTCATTGTCTAATTTTGGTAAATATAAATTAATATTATCATATTTTAAGTTTTAAGAGGACGCAACACCCGCATGTGCATTTACAAACGTGGCACATTTCAAGTTCACAATAACACATTTTACTATTAATTTCTAAAATTAGAGTAAATTAACATGTTATACATTTTAAAACTAAGATTGATATCTATTGCATCTCAGATGCTTTTATTAGTATTTCTATTAATAGCAAGTTATGACCATTTTTAAACTGTACATTTTTTGTATATTTTAAAATGATCACAACTTACATACAAATTATATTGTCAATAAAATCCTCCTAGAGGTCTTAGATAATAATCTTACACTTAAAGGTTATCATGGGTCACTCTAATAATTTTAAAAATAACAAAGTAAAATAGATTATTTTTAACGTACAGTTTGGTATGTTGTCATGTTGAACTTTGTAAAACGGAGATCACATAGTACGAGGGTGTGGGCGTCGTCCTCTTAGCAAAACTAAAGACATTAAAGGCATAACTAAATGGTACAAAACAAATAATTATAATAATTTCTTTAGTATTATTCTAAATCCTAAACATATTGGCGTAAAAACACATTAGAAACTACTGGCGTTGTGAAATGGAATAAAATAAATTAGTTGCATCAACACGTCCACACATATTTTTGAAAACAAAAACTTATAATATGTCTTATATAGTTATAAATAATAAGTTTATTTAAGTACTTATGTCAAAAATTCATCCGGTTTAAATAATACATTTTAACACTGTAGCTAATTAAACTAGAGACGAGTGATACTAAATATAATGAGTGTTTAACCCACCTTGTTTTTCTATATACCTATATTGTAAATTTATGTTTATCTTATTCCATAGAATAATAACAATAATATTTAGCTGTAGCCCCATAAAATTAATGTATATCATAAAATTAGTATAACTTAATATTATGTTTACATGAATTGTAAATACATAATAATTATTACATATTTTAATGAATTTATCAAATAACTTCAAATGCAAGTGCACATAGTACTAGTTCATGAAGAATTTTTTCAAAGATAGTGTTTTATATTAAATTTGACTTCAGCATCATCAATTATAAATAATTATAAATTGCAATCAATGATAAAAGTCGTATTTATGTTTACGTAGTAATTAGTTTCCTTTTTATCGTCTCGTAAATGTATTTCCATTTCAACTTAAAAAGTATAAAATAACATTATAGGGATTAATGTTTTTTTTTAATATAACAGTTTTAGAATAAAATGCATAGTATAGGTAGTGCAAAAATAAATGGTTTCCTTTTTAATATGCTGAATGACTAAGTTACTTTTTTCGCGAAGTCACTGCATACCTCAGTTAACCCTAGCGCCCTAGCCGATTTGTAACTTGAGAATTCAGAGCGATTCAAAAAACAACTGCGACAAAAAAGATCATTCCTCATTTTACACCACATGGGTCTACTAATTTAATCATAGCCCTAGAATTTTTTGAAACTATTAAATTCCAATGCTCAGGCCTACCGAAAACCACACAGCAAATAAAAATACTCATTCGTAAAACATTATCTAAACAACATAGTATAACGTTACAAACCACCAGTGTTTCGATATTCGTTATAATTTATAATTATTTATACTACGAATTTCGATAAAACAATTTGTATTTTATAATGTATGTGCATTTAAAAAAAATAATTGTTATTATGCAACGTGTCTGGAACAAAGCCGCGACGTAATCACTAATCTACGTACCCCGCCGTTGAAATTAGTTTTTTTCCGTATCGGTTTCTCCTGAAACTGTACAACACGCAGTCACGGCCCACACTAGTTTTTTCGTTGTTTCTTTTTTAATGATCTTATTAATAGTAATATTATTAGTAACTCCGCCATGGAGTACTCAACCAATTTCTTTCCCGCTAGATTGTCCACCTATCGAGAAATGTTGAGATGGCTGGTCTCTACGATTTAATAAAACGCTCATTGTGGGTAACAAATTCGTTTATAATAATACGATTAAAACCTGTTTTTGTTTATTATTACTTCCCAATCCATATACTCGTATTATTACTATTCAATGCATAAATGGTCGGTTGGTGACGAGACGTAAGTAGGTACCTACCGATCGGCGATAATAGGACGTCTTAGTGTTTCTGCAGCGATGCAGTTAAAATATTTTTATAATAATAAGTAAACATCTCGTTGCTGTAATTAGTATTCTTATTATTTGTATTATTACTTCCATCGTACATGAAATTAGATTATATGAAATTATCACTGAAAACATAATACCATAATTTGTTTTTTCTTATCCATCCGTATTAATCAATATAATAATGTTCCTTTTTTTAAAACTCCCACTCGCTCTCAATAAAAAAAAATAAAGCCTCTAGTGATCCATCGATGAGCCAACTCAGCCTAAGGCGACGACCCTTGCATTCGACGGTCAGCCGCTGGACGCCAACCTAAAAATACAACATAATAAATACTTTTAAGAATTACACCTATTAAACTCTTCTTGGTTGAGAGCTTAGCTGTCACATTGTATTGATTTAAATTGAACTGTAAATGTAAAAAAAAATACATAAAATATGCATTACACTTTCCACATTTCAAATCATTGTATTCAAACCATTCATTAAAAATGTCACTGTATCCCACAAAAAAATTAGGTTCCTTAGGTAAACGATTATTTATTTAGGTTTATTTGGGCGTATGTTATATTAATTATTAAATTCCGTATAATTTAAATTATGTTCTTCGTATTTTTTTAAGCTACAATACACTACTATATACATATCGAATTAATAATACATAATTATAGTCTACAGTATACCTTTATTTTGAGTGTCTGAATAAAATAATTGAAATTATATTTTCATATTTGTGTTATTAAAAATATATACACCCACAATACAATGTGACATCACAATAAACTGAATAATAAATATTTATATTTTCTAATTAACAATCTATGATAATACTAGCTAATAATGTATTTCTTTGGGTAGGGATCTCTTAATAGTATATTAAATTTGTATACCTATAGAAAAATAAAAAATGGGGTGAGTGGCCGAGTGGACCAAAACGTCAGTTCGAATCCCGGTCGGCGGTCACGGGCGGCATGGCTCTTCGGGCAGTCACGGCGCCTGGAGAGAGAGACCACCGTCCCCCCCCCCTGGGCATTGCAGAAACCTACGGGTGCCCACTAGAAATTCTGCCAAACACACACGTGTTCTATAAGATTCAACCGTCCCTCCCCCTACAAACAGCTAACGGCCACAGTTGCCAGGCTTTAGATCAATTTAAAAAAAAAAGTAAAAAAAAAAATAATTGCAATAAGTACCTACAAGTAAAGTATATAAATTACAGAACACAATATTTCAAATCAATTTTATTGGAACCTCACATTTGACATGGCATAATATATAAATTCTATAAAATGATTAATGATATTGATTTTTATAAAACTTAACATTTGTTGTTTGTTAATTAGTATTTGGTTTCTATTAATAATTATGTTAGTCAGTCATGGATTTCGTTACCTGAAGTTATTTATTAATTATTATTATAGATATTACCGTGATATTAATCATTTGGTTATTTAATATTTGTACTGAGATTTGAGACTCCAACACGGGTACATCTATATTATAGACTTAATACATTGTTATTTAGAAGGTATTTAAACGTACTAAAGAAATTAAATAATATTACTATTTTATAATTATTATATTATATACGAGTATATATATATTATGTATTTATTTTTATTAAATATTACAGGTTGAAGGTTTTTTTTAAAAAATCGAATTAAATAAATGTAAGAAAAATCCCTTTTAATTAGGTTCATCAGTAGTTGTTATGAAAAACCAAAAACTAGATTAAAAAACCCATATCAATATTTTACATTAATTGAAAAACACACATTATAACTTAACATATTTTCAAATAGGTTTTATCAGCAGTTTTATTGAGTGCAAACTTTTCACCGTCATATCAAGATTATCTTACGTTCTTTACCTGACACATTTTATTGTTCAGTTACAAAGTATTGGTGAAATCCGTCAACCAAAATTTGGAAACTTTTGGACATTGGTAAGCTTAAAATGTATTTTTTATACTGGATGTTTTTTATCACTAAATAGTAAACACCAATTAATTCATGATTTTATTTCTCTGAAAAAGTATTGGGAAATCAACGCCGATTTAATGACAGCTCTATCATACTCTATACTTTTTAATCTAATCGTGGAAGCACCGTGCAGAAAAATATTCAAGGAACTTATGAGCATATTTCTTAAAGGTAAAATTGTTTATTTTGAATATTAACACCACTTAGATTACGTTTGTTAATATTTACCAGTGAAAATGTAATTTTTTAGCTGAAAAACCATCAGATTCTACAGACTCGTGATGTTTACGATGGGAATAATGTCCAAACCTAAAAATGCCGTTCATCCATGTTTTAAATAAGTTCAAAATGTGTAACCTAAATGCCTTTTCAATATTATTTTGTAACATCTCAGTGTTTATTATGTACCTATTTTATTTATACTTATATCATACTAGAATAATAAATTAGTGAGTGGAATACAAATATACAAATTAATTTTATTTAATAGCTTTTTATTCGTTGAATTAGTGCACTTCACAATATCATATCCCTATTTCTTTTTTAAGTAAGAAAATAGTTGACTCCGTGTACTGTATGTCTGTATACGCATATGGTACAATTAGTACTGCTGTGTGCTTTGCAGTCGCCAGTCAATGATAAGAAACAGAATCGTTTCAAGTTACAATATTTATATAGTATTTTGTATACAATTTAATAATTATTATATTTTTATTTTTATATTCCGCAGATGAAAATCATTACAATTCAATTTAAGTCTCAATGTTTATTAAAGTGATGTATTTATAGGGGGAAGGAGCTTCCTTCATGACTTTTTTTACTGTTTTGAATTCCAAAGAAGTATAATAATATGTCATGGATAAATATTTTTATAATACCTATAAAAAAAAACAAGCTGTGTAGTAGGCACTATTATGATGGACAAATGTTTTGACGACGAGTGACGTCAATTGCAATAATAATTAATGTTCATGTTATGTCCAATATTGATTCTGAGAAAATAAACATGGGATATATTTTACCAAAATATATACTTATTATTATATGTGCAATATTATAGTCTATAATAATATGTACCTACTATAATTACAATCACGATTTTCTCTAACCCAACTAACCTGTCGATCACGTACGTGTAAACTAACCAACTTCCAGATAACAATAAAACCGATAGAAGCTAGTAAGAAAAATACCCATATATTAAATATTTATGATATATATTATAATGTAGATACCATTAATACCTAAATACTTTAAAAAGACGTGAACGTTTGAAAAGTAATATCGAAATAATCAAAAGTATACCTGTAGGTATCTAATGTATAAATTAATATGTTCAATATGTGGAAAATAGGCACCTAACCATTTCTTATCTTCTATTAATATGGAAATATTTACTATGCTTTATGCGCAAACTAATAAGACATAATCAATTTATTCTTCTTGCAAATATATAAATTCCCCGCAGTGTATAATCAGGCACGTAAAAAGTGCAAGTAAACAAAAATTAATAATTGTGTAATTTATTTATATCAATCATCGATGACTACAATAACGGGTCGGTGACAGTTTAACTAGATTAGTGTCTTCGATATGATATATTACATAATTTACTACTAGGCATCTACTTATCACCTCAGTATCGACCAGCGCAATTGTTCCCCAAAAATTAGAACGGTATCATTTATTTTCTAGTTTCTAGTTAAATTTAAAAATGTTCTAAAATAACCCATTAGTTAGGACTTTAACTATTCTTATAATATGTCAGGAGGAGAAAATAAGGGCATAGCCGTTTTCGACCAAAAACGTACCCTTCCCTTTTCGGCCGATTCACTTTTCGACCAAATTTTAAAAAAACGGCAATTCCCTTTTCGACTAAAATCGTACCCTTCCCTTTTCGGCCGATTCACTTTTCGACCAAAATTTAAAAAAAACGGCAATTCCCTTTTCGACTAAAATCGTACCCTTCCCTTTTCGGCCGATTCACTTTTCGACCAAATTTAAAAAACATCGATTCCCTTTTCGACATTAATATGTCATAATGCGTATAATATTTTATAAAAAATACAACAACAAAATTATACAATACAAAAAGTTTAATATAGGTGTTATATTTTATGTTATAGGTACATATTGAAAATTATTAAAACCTATATATATATAATTGTTGTCATTAATCATTTGATCGGTGATCGTCGACTGTGATGGTTACTACCATAATATATAGTTATATCAGTATATTATGTAGTATGTACCTGATAGACTATGATCATTGTACGTATTGTAGAGAGTCACTATCTTTTATAGCCAAGATAAAATATCAATAACTGATTAAATTCTCTCGTTACTTGTTTAATTTTTGTAAAACCGATGCTCGTGCAATAATACTTTAGTGTCTGTGCGTGAATCATACTCGTTGCATCGGTTTTATAGTTTTCAACGTTCAAAATTATTATATTTTACTTAATATGGCTGAATTTATCGAAAGTAATCGTGGTAAACCGTTATTAGTTTTAGATTGTTATAAATTTAGTATCGGATCAGTGAACAAAAAAACTAATTCAACACGTTGGCGATGTATTCGAAGAGATTGTGATGCTAAACTTCCAAACAAGACTACCGAAACTTACATTCATGCATTTCACTTGATATTACAGAAATGCACTTCTTTAGGTGTAACATTATTGCCTCAGTATGTAACGACAGATTATGAAAAAGCAATAATTAACGCAGTCCATGAAATTTGGCCACAAACTCAAATTATTGGGTGTAGGTTCCACTTAACCCAAGCTTGGTATCGCCAAATCCAAAAAGTAGGACTGGCTACTGAATATCAAGACCGATCTTCAGAAATTGGATTATGGTTGCGCCACACTTTTGGATTGCTTTTTCTAGAACCAAATAATGTTTTAGATTGTTTTCTTCAAAACTTTATGGCTGATCGTCCTATAGATGATAAAGTTATCAAATATGCAGACTATCTCATTGACAACTATTTAACAGACGATTGTGACTATCCTCCAGAAATATGGGCATCAGCAAGTTCTAGTTTACAACGCACGACTAATAACTGTGAATCCTTCCATGCAAATTTCAATCGAAGCTTTTATAAAGAATCTCCATCCATATTTAATTTGCTTGCGGTTTTAATTGATGAGGTACAAACTGAAATTTATATAAAACTTAGAAGTGTTCACTTGCCAAACCGTACTCAAGATCGATCAATCAGAGAGAGAAAATCCAAAAATGAAAAATATATATCAGATTATCAAAACGGACAACTTGACAGGTACCTACAGTATATAATTTATTAAAATAGCTATGCGTTTTTATTTCTTAATAGTAAATATATCACTAAAATATTTTTAGGTATGATTTTGTTAAGTTGGTTTCAAACAATTATTTCAAACAAATGTAATGAAAAGCGCTAACAAAACTCAGACGACGACAGAACACAATTATATTGACCTTATATCATTTTTTTTTATATAATATATCTTATATTTTTAATAATATTTGCCATTATTTTACAACAATTATAGTTATTTTAAGTATAAACTAAACTCTAAAGTATATTATTATAGTAATTATTATTATTAATATTTGCTATTATATAACAACAACTACTCGTATATTAGTTTATGTCTTAATATTATATTATACTTAATAATTATTGACAAAAATTGTATATTATTATGTTATTCTTTTTATGCAACTTATATTTTAAAATTATGATTGCCATAATTTTACAAAAATTATATATCAATTATTTTCTTTATTTTACATATCATATTACAAAACTTTTTGTTTTGGTCGAAAAGAGAATTGGCGTTTTTTTAAAATTTGGTCGAAAAGTGAATCGGCCGAAAAGGGAAGGGTACGTTTTTGGTCGAAAACGGTCTCGCCCGAAAATAATTTACCTGACTTGTGTTTTTGGGACAACGTCTCTTACAAATTATCATTAGATGATGAAACAATAATTAAAAATATCAAAAAGACAAAGTTAAATCTTTGGCTTGTTTAAATAAATATCCAATTGCAAACAATTATTTTAAAATTACTACACTCTTGTGTGTTTTTCTATAACGACCATTTTCTTGTCGAATTTTTAGGATTCACACTTAGAACTAGTTAGAAGTTAGAACAAATATTTTGTTAGATAGCTTCTTTGATCAATTTGTCTCCTGAACTTCTGAACAAGAAATTCCAACTATAATACTGTACCTATAAGGCGATGTAACTGTATGTATAATGTTGTTTAATATAATAAGACACATTTTTTGGATACTTAATGCAAAAACTAATACATTTTTAATTCTGGTAATACCGAGGAATGTATTAGAGATTAAAGAATAATACAATTACTTCATAAAATATAAATTGTGATTATTATCACATTTTGAAGCAAAAAAATGTGACTAAATATTCTTGAGAGTAGAGTATTGTATCAATTTTGATCAAGTTTTATATTCCTATAAAAATTCCTAAAAATGTATCCTATAAAAAAGAGAATAAAAAAGGATTTTAATTCGCACAATATTAGTTTTTAAAATACATTATCTCAATTTTGTATAAGCGTTAGATGTACATAAAAATCATAAAAAATTTCAAATTATTTTGTAGTAAACAATTAATACAAATATGATTTTTAAGTTTTCTGATCATTTAAAATGCCTAAATTTAAATTTACAATTTTTGACAGATTTTTCGTTATTTATTGAGCAGAGCACGGGGGGGGGGGCTCTATTAATTTGGCACAAGACTAATATTTTTTTCATAACGACCGAAGGAGCCTTCGCAAATTTCGATATTAGTTTTACTACTATTTACTATTATTTTTATAATACAGTTTAAATAATTGTTCATCAAGTCGGATAGCCAACTTTATCACTGGCTCAAGAATATACATCAGATGAATAACAAAAACATACACAATTTAATTTAAAGGCTGCAGTTAAATCATTGTTTGATGCAATCAACATTTACTCGTATAAAATAGAAGAACAGCCGCTGAGGTCCTACGGTATCACATGAATTTAAAACGCACTAACAGTACCATATTACTTAGAATTGACCGTACTTAAAAACAAAAACAACTTATTTTTTGTGTACCCTTTTAAAACTAGTTATAGTCCTAATTGAAATTTTTAAAATGTTGCTATAATGGTTCCAGAAAAACGTTACCCCAGCACCGTTATAAAGAATCGTATAAGTTAAAATTCTGTGGAATGGATGATTGCAGATAATCAATCTTTGTCCGTAGAAAATTGAAGGAATTGCAAAAATAATATTAACTCCACCAGTATCATAAAAAAAATAATAACTTACATTTA